ACTCGGGTATTTAATTCTTTTTTTTTTAAATAAAGTAATAAAATTTATGAAAACTTAGGTCCTAAATTGATAGTTTTCAATCATTCAACTCCTAGATTGATAGTTTTCCATCATTCAGATCATATACCGAGACATTTTGAGCCCGTTTGGTAGCACCAAAATCGGCTGTTTTGGCTGATTCTGCTAAAATTTATGAAGTTCTGGCTGAAGTGGCTGCATTGGCTGATTCTGCTTATTTAAGAAAAAATATTTTTAAAATATATATTATTAATAAAATAAAGAAAAAATTATATGTAAAAATAGCTAAAATAGTTATCTACAGTAACTTCAGCCAATATAGTCAGAAAAGTAACTTTGACCTTACTTTTTCTGCTTATTACACAATTCAGCGCGCACAAGAAAAAATTACGTGTTTGGTGAAAAAGTTGACTGATAAGTCTGATAAGCCGAAAAACAGTCTTGCCAAACGGCCTCTTTATCATTCAGATCCCGAATTGATAATTCATTTATCTTTCACATCCCGAATCGATAAAACTCTTATTTAAAAACTCTTATTTTAATTACCCTAGTTATGACTAAAACTCTCACACATTCTCAATCTATGACCTAACTAGTTTTTTTCCCAAAATAATATTTAAATTGGTAATATTCAATTAATTTCGTAATTAATTAATAAATAAATAATTTTAATGGACTAATATACCCTTTAGATTATGCTTATAAAACCTTAATCTCCTACTCCTTTTTCTCCAACCCTAGCCTCTAGTATCTCGCCACCCAAGATGCACCTTCTTCCGACGACTGCCGCACGACCATCTGACATCGCCGTCCCTCTGTGCAGCCGCCTAACACCGCCACAGGTCATTCCCTGTGACCTTTGTCTCCTTCTCACCTATGTTCTTCGTGCAGATGGAGAAGGTGGGTGGAGTAAGGGTCTTCGTTGAGTGTGTCCCGCCCTGAGTTTCGAAGGTGAGGAAGCCCAGAAGAGGTAAGAGAGAGCTTTGGTGGAGGATTCTATCGTAGTACTGATATGCTTCATTAGTGCCGCTAGGTGGATGCCTTGATCTGGGCGAATACCAGAAATGGTTTGTTTGATCCGGAGGAGGTTGATTGTCTCCTTGTGGGCCTTAGTTTGACTTTTGGTCATCCCATGATGTGTGCCTAATAAGTACATAGTGCACTGCAATTAACGTTTAAGATCTATTTTCAATTGGCTCTTAGTCTTTTCCTTTTTCTTGAAATTAAGATTTTTGGACATTGAAGTGTGCATTGAATAATGTAATAGATAGTGTTGAATGTGGACATTGAACATGGTAATAGATAGTGTTGTATATGGCAGTGAGTGAATGTATTGAGAGGAAGTGCAATGATTATGACAAGTAGTGCAATAATACAGAGTAGGAAAATCCAATATACGTAGTATTTAATTGGACGCAAAATCCTAAAATTATTAAATGTTAAAATAAATAAAGAAAAGAATTATAAATAAATTTATAACTTGGACAAGAAGAAAATTAAAATTGGCGGAGGTGCAGTGATTATTACCGGATGTGCAGTAATGTCGTGCAGTAATGTCATGCAGTAATGGGAATATAAAGTGCAGTAATTTTAATTGGACGAAATTAGTGCAAAATGCACATATTTTAAATAAGAGTATTTTTGTCATCCAACATTTAAATATAAACGAATTTTCTATTTATTTTTAGACTTTTGGTCATACAAAAGTATAAAAACTAGTTAGGTCATAGATTGGAAAACTCATTGAGTTTTAGTCATATCCTAGTAAATTTCCCAATAAACAAATGGCTGAATTTAACGGACAGACAACATTCAGGTTTAGCACGATTTCTTTGGTTTAATCCGATTTCCAGAAACCCATACCAAACCTAGAACAAAATGAAATAAGAATGGCCGAGATTACTCTTACGGCCTGTTTGGATGGAGTGTTGATAAATGTTAGTAATGAAAACGTTAGTAAGTGTTGGAAGGGCCCGAAAGGGAAGATAAGTGTTAAACATAATTTTACCTTGTTTGGCAGAGTTAAAAAATGAAGTGTTAGTAATGGAAGTGTTTTCCCTTAAATTGACTAAATATCCTCAATTAAAGTAGATTTTAAGTCGTCACTTTTAATTTCAATTCTAGATTCCTTCGAAGTAAGGGATATATATCAGACCAACAAAATATGAGTGAAAGCAGTTTCGAATCATCAAATAGCCATATAACCCATGAGAAATCGTGAACTCTCCAACATTCCAGTCAAGTTTGGTGTGAAAAAGTATACCGTTCAAGGCTATATCTTTTAGAATTAAGATATAGCAGCAAAAATGACTGGTTCTTTTTGTTGATTAGAATTGATTATTTATTTGTTTTTTAGAATTATACAATTTTTATGCGGTATAAATATTTGATAAAAGTAGGAAGTAAAAAGATAACACAACTCGAGAAAGATGGTCTAAACGAAGATGAAAAGGATAGCATCATACGGAAGAAATCATAGACAGCTAAAAGAGAACTCAATATTCAGAAGAGAACTCGGGAGAAGGAGGATGAGTACCTATATCATACACCCTGATGTAGGTACATCCAGCCCAGTTGAAGAAGACAGCCCATTAACTAATATAGACCATTTTATTTTCGGTGGCATTTTTGTAATTTAAGCAAAAAATCACGGCTTAAGCTAAATGAGCATAATTGTACGTTTAATGAGCAATAGTCCAATTATAATGAGTATTAAGCGTCCAATAATGAGCATCATGTTGGTACAAGAAAACTGATATCATAACTAAAAAACGGTGGCATTTTTGTAATATCAGTGAAAATCGTGTTTTTCGATAGATGAGTATTAAAATGTGGGCATCATGTTAGTACAAAAAAACTGATATCACGCTGTTAATGAGCATCAGATGTATTCTATTGAGCATTACGAGTCGAATAATGAGTAATGTGATATCAATTTCATATATTGTAATTCACTTTCCGTTATCTTATTTTTTCTTTTACAAAAACTCATTAAATTTTATCTATAATTAATTCCTATGAATTTCAATATGTGAATCGAATGTAATATGGTACTTTGATATGAAAATCATAAGATTTGTTAGTTAAACATCACAAATTTTAACTGAGCATCAAACCTTCGTTATTGAGATGAAAATCATGGTTTCTGGTGAATGAGCATAAATGAACTTTTAATGAACATTAAAACAATTATGTTGAGTATTAGGAGTCTAATATTAGAAATCATGATCTCTGCTTCATAATTTCTAATTCACTTTCTTTTTGTTATTTTTTCTTTTATAAAAAATTATTACGGAGTAAATTATATCTATAATCAACTCTTATGAATTTCAATATGTGAATCTAATGTAATATTGTACTCTTGAAATATGCATTGATATGACATTTTTAAAATGAGCATAACATGAGTACTAGTTGAGCAGACGTAACTTACAAAATGAGCAATGATATAAAAATCATAAGGTTTTTTTCGTTGAGAATCAAGACATTTTCATTGAGTATCAAATCTCTTTTATTGAGTATTATAAATATACAATTGAGTATCATGCATGTTTTGTGCTCTAGTATCTATAATCAACTCTTACGTGAATCAAACGTGATATGCTAATTTTGAAATATGTACTGATATAACATTTTAAAATTTTAAAATAGCATAACACCAGTACTAAATGATTATACATTATTTACCAAATGGACAATGATATGAAAATTATAAGCTTTGTTAGTTGAGCATCAAAACGTCGTTTATTGAGTATTATAAGCATAAAAATTGAGTATCATGATCTCTACTCTCTTGTCTCTAATCAACTCTCATGGGAATCTAATGTAATATGGTAGTTTTGAAATATGCATTGATATGACATTTTAAAATAAGAATAAAAATCAATATCAGATAAGCATACGTAACATAAAAAATGAACATTAAAATGTTCAAAAGCTCAATTGAATTCTCTAATGTGTTCAAATATACATTTGTGAATGCTCATTTCTTTTAATAGTTATACTCATTTGAATATAACATCAACTCTTTTGTATAACATGTACATCTAGTAAATTCGTTATTAACAATTTAATAAACTATCATTATATATAACAATGAAAAATATAAAAAATGCTATACTAAAAACAAATTTTAGGTTTATTTTTTAAAAAATGCAAATATAATTGCGTTGTTTTTATAATATTTACTCATGCACATTTATTTTGCACTGTACTCATTTGAGTATAATACAAAACTCATGTTGGTAATAAACTCATTTCAGTATAATACACACAATATTTAATAAACTAATAAATATTAATCTTAAAATTTGAAATATAAAAATAAAATTAATACCTAAAATATTTAATAATGTACAATTAAAAAGAATTAAGTTATGAGTTTTATTGATAAAAGAAAAAACAAACTCCAACATTAAATAATATTTTATTTATACATTTTGATAATAGTTGAAAAAAATAAAGGAAAATGTTGGTGTTTTTTAAAGTGCAAAAAGTTGTTGAATAAAAAGAAATAATACAAAGGAGAACAACAACAACGTAAAGCAAAGGAATTAAAAAGATGGAGCCAACAAGGAATTAAAAAGACGGAGCCAACAGATGTACGCGTGTAAAGCAACGCTACAGTGCCGGTTGAAAAACAAAGAAGAAGCAAAACAGAAGGAAAACGGAGCCGGCAGAAAAAGAAGAAAACAGAGCAGAAGCAACATGACTATTAGGCTTTAAGTTGTACGGTGAGAACCGTACAACCGGGTGTACGGTATATTTTACCGAGGAGGATAGAAGACTCGGCAGTAAGATTAGGCACAAGAGGCGGAGAAGAGGAACGATCTCTGCCCTCTGGATCTCTGAAACGTACGCTGGTTGGAGGTGTACGGAGAGAGGACAAAAATTGTCCAAACACTTCGTTACACCCCAAATTTGGGTGTTAAAAATTTGATAGATATAGGTGTTAGGAAGGTCATCACTAACACCCTCAAACACTTATTAACACTCTTGATTTTTTTTTTTTCTGAATTTTTCTCACAAACAAGTACTCCGTATTAAACTAAACACTCCCCAACATTTCTATCAGTACCCCCAATCCAGCCGTTAATCCCGAGTGAATCAACACTTATTGGTGAATCACTTATCATTTGAGAGTTGACTCCTAAATTCTGACATGAACCAGACTATGGCGGGTGGATCCTGCATATGATTCATACCTCGCGTCTCAATGTCAATTGCTTATTGTTTTCTAGATCAGATCTGGCTTTATTTCACCTGATGCGTGCTCTCAACATCCATCTCGCAGTTCCTTAATGAGCTTTCCGATGGCATGTGATCTTAAAGGTTTTATGATTCGACACAATTCTTCAATTTTGTCTTGCATATTTAAATTACTTTTGCTCTTCCATTATATCTCTAATGAACTATAATGCACCCGGCCTTCTCATTCTTGTTCACTGACAATACATATGGCCGTCGGTCACATTTGAACAGGAAAAGCTCTTGTCCTTATGGGTCCAAGTGGTGCCGGAAAGTCGTGAGTCTCTCGCTTCACTCTTTACATCCAAATCCTGTCTGAGCTATCAAAACAATGGCGTTTCGGTTATTATTTATTTATTAAATAAAAACGCAGAAACAAATCATTTTGATCACTTCGACGGCCATTATATTGCTTTAAAGCCCTGCTTCACTCCGTTGATATATCTGTGAACAAAACAAACATCATGGTCTATGGTCATTCAACTACTTACTTCGATTGTGTGTATTTATGTACAGAACAATAGGTGATATGCTAGGAAGAGCCATTAATGGTCACTTTGTTGATGCCGATGATTATCACTCTCCTTCAAACAAAGGTAGGCAATATCTGATGACTTAGATGGATGAATTTAGGAAAAATGCCTGGCGGCTGCTGAATTAGTTAGCCGAGTCTCTATTCTATAGATGATAAAACCTAAGTTGGAGCAGAGCCTTTTTGAAATTAGAATATCGGTAGAATGGTTGAAATTGATGAAATTCTAACTCAAAGGTTTTGAAAAAAATATACGAAATATTTAAATATCTGTTTATTAATTAAATAAAGGAAATATTATACGTCGTATGAAAATAACTAAAATTGCCCTCTAAAATAACTTTAGTCAATTCAGGTAGAAAACTAACTCTATTTTTACTTATTTTAACTTTAGTCAATTCAGGTAGAAAACTAACTCTATTTTTACTTATTTTGATTATTATACAATTCAACGCGTGAAAATGTTGAATGATAAGTAGAAAATAAGACTACTGTAGCGGTTTTCTACCAAAGAAAAGTCAATTGATTTTATGATGTTACAAGGACTAAGGAGGTTATGCTGATTCTAGCTTACCAAATGAAACATGTGGCTTAACATCACTATTAGCTAGCTAGCTTTTGGAATTGGGGGGTGGGGGGGTGGGGGAAGATAGTTTAATGGTAAATGATACAGCATTTATACTATGCAGAAAAAATGAGGATTGGGGTGGCATTGACAGAGGAAGATCGGGCTCCCTGGCTCGAGACACTGCGAGGCGTGATAAGAGAGGGGTTAGCGAAGGGGGAAAGCATTGTTCTTGCTTGCTCTGCTCTCCAAACACAGCACAGGGAAAGCCTGAGGTGCGCTGATCCTGGTTATCAGCCCGGCTCCGGTGGGGTGCATGATTGTTTGGTGAAATTCGTTTTGCTGGATGTAAAGGCCGATGTTCTGGCTGACAGGCTGAACAGAAGGGCGGCAGAAGGGAACCACTTCATGCCTGCAATGCTCTTACAATCCCAGTTGGATTTGCTTCACATAGATGAATCGGAAGGCATATTCAAGGTTGATGGAACTTTGACCCCTTTGGATATTGTGAGCAAGATCCGAGCATCCCTTTTCTCATGATTCATTGATTCTTATCCTCTTCAAATATTTACTACGGAGTATATCTATATGCCTTTTTTTTTGCTTCATGAACAACCATACCAACTTTTCACTTTTAATCCATGCTATATTTCATATCTGGCCTTCAGTCAATAATTGTAATAATTTGGTCCCTCCAAACCTGGAATACGATGTCTAGCCTTCACAGGAATTCAAAAAAATCATCTTCAGTTGATATTTCAAGAATTAACTACAACTTACTTTAAACTCTCACCTAAGCTTTAAAAAAAAATCTCACCTGAATATCACTCACATATTTGAAAGATGATAATTATGAACACCAGACATCGACACGAGCGATTTAAAATCATCAATTCTACTAGAGATATCAAATGACATACTAAGTAAATTTTTAGTCGTTCATATCTCGACAATTTTTCATCTTTCATGCACCTATTTTATTGTTAGGTATTTTATCGTTCCTAGTGATGGGTGCCTTTTTGCAAATGAATCCCCAAAAAGTATTGGAAATAAAATGAAAAAAATTAACATTTATCTTTCTGTTAAGTATTACTTGAGCTGTTCCAAATTGAATTCCAAAATACTTCAGTTTTTAAAATTGACTCACGATAATGTTAAATCATTGTTGTGGATAGTTAAATCAGTTCCAAGCCTTTAATAAAAAATTGATATGCTAAATTAATAAATAAAGTGATTTTCTATAGACCAAGAATAGTTGACTTTGCTAATTACTTAGTATTTTAAAAACAAGAGTATGAATTAATTATTATTTAATATATAAGAAGCAAAATAAAATTGATACATAATTTCCTCCGTAGGAAGCCTACAGGAAATTTAAGAAGTGATGGGTTAGTTTTAGTTTTTACCATCATCAAGTACAAGTAATGAAAAAACTTCAAGTAACCCTTGCTCATGTACTAAGTTACTAACCCTTACCCATTTTCTGGATTTCTTTCGTCCCGTTACGATTGTCTTATATTTTTTTTGTCTATCCTATTGAAATTGCCTCATACCCAAATTGGAAATGTTTGTATGATTTTAATTCTTTTTTGGTTATTCTCATTAAATCAGTTCAATATTAACAACATAAATTCACTTTTTATAATCACATCACCTCATATTTTATCAATGTTATGGGGCGGACGTAGTTTATAAAAGCAAATTAAATATAACAAAAAATGCCCTCCAAAGGAAGCCCTACAGGGAGTTTAAGAAGTGGTGGGTTAGTTTTAGTTTTTACAATTGTCGAGTATTTTGTGTTCCGATGATATTACTATAACACTTTCAAGGAGTAAGTCACAACTTCGAATCTCATTCCAATTCAAGAATATTGGGCTTAACATAAAACAGATACTATCTAAGTCTATAATAGCTTAAAAATTAGGCAAGTAAAACAAGGAAATAACATCAAGTAAACCTTGGTCACGTACTAACCTAAGGAAATGAATATATTCTTACCGATTTTCTGGCCTCATTGGTATAAAACTAAGGAGAAATGATCTTGTCCAGGCGGAGCCAGGAAGTTTGGGGCGGCCACCGCCGCCGTTTGGGGCGGTTCCCGGTGGAAGTTTTTGATGAATACTTTTGATAATGTTCCTCATCATGTCTAGTTTATCCACAAAAAATTTCAGTCAAAAATTCAATCGGGAAGGCAGTCAATATTTTTTTGAAGATAACTCCGCCAAAATATACATATAAAACGCAGTCATCTTCAAAATATTATTTGACTCTCTTCCCGATTGAATAAAAACATGCTCAAAAAATTTCATCAAAAAATTGAACAAGATCTTTTTCCTAAAACTAAGTTAGTTTTATTCTTTAAAAATTTGTATGTTTGTTATTTTTCATCTTCATTAATTTTCTCGCAATAAATATATGGAAACAAAAAGGAAAAATGTACAAATATACCCCTGTATATAATATCACATATTTTTGTATGATGATAAATAGTCAAAGATTAAAAAATAGTGAATTTAATTCTATTAAGTTTAAACACAAGCAAAGCATGTTATTTTAAAAAATTTAACAATGTGTTCAAAATTTCGCAACAAGACTAAAATTAAAATTAGTGAATTTGAAGTGCTTCATTTACACCATAATAATAATAATAAGTTTGCAAGTTAAAATTAAAGAGTTAACATTTTAACATAATAATAAATGTTTATTTTTAAATTTCGAATTTATAATTTATTTTTGGTGTTTTTTGAAATTTATTTTATCCATTTAAAGTCAATAAGGATAAATTTGTTTCTTTATAAGAACATGAGGGGTATTTTAGCACTTTTTAAAAGTTCAGGGGTATATATGTACTTCAACATATACTTCAGGGGTATACTTGTTCCGAAAAATAGAATAGGGGCATATTTGTTCCTACACCCATACTATAGGGGTATATTTGTACCTTTCTCCAAACAAAAATCATGGAGAATAAGCCTTGAGTACATAAATGAGGAAGACTAACATGGAAATTTATCCTAGAATGTCACTCAAATGAAATAAGGAGTATATGTGTGTGTGTGTGTGTATATATATATATATATATATATATATATATATATATATATATATATATAGAGAGAGAGAGAGAGAGAGAGAGAGAGAGAGAGAGAGAGAGAGAGAGAGAGAGAGAGAGAGAGAGAGAGAGAGGAGAGAGAGCTATTCCTGTCCGGAATTTCCGGACAGGAGCCCCGTCCGATCACCTCAATTTGAGGTGGTTCCCAGTGGTATTTTTGACTCAATTTTTTTTTGTATGTTCCTCATCAAGTCTAGTTCATTCATACCAAATTTGAGCAATTCAATCTAGAAGGTCGTCAAATGATTTTTACAAGTTAACTGGTCCGGAAAATACATATTCCGGACCAGTTAACTTCAAAAATCATTTGACAACCTTCCCGATTGAATTTTTGGCTGAAATTTGGTATGGATGAACTAGACT